CCTTGTCCGTGACGGATCCTGCGAATTTGGAGTTCCCCGCTGAGGGAGCAGGCCCGATGGGCCTGACCAAGGCTATAGAAACAAAAAGGCGGAACGCTTTGGTCTCAGTAAATGTAGAGCCTATGGCTTTGGAAGCAGCCGCGAATCCGGATACCACAACCTTTGCGCTTAACTTAGTCAGGGAAAGTCGCGTCGTCACAAAATTAAACCCCGCTTGCCGTGAAAATCAAAATTATAATGACATGCGGGCATGCCAATAAAACTTAAGTTCATACATTTCTTTACAAATTTGCTGGTGCCCACAAAACGCAATAAATTGTGAGTTTTGTAGTACCATGCAGTGTTCTCTTAAAGTTTAACTAAGTTGAGAACATCCGGGATATGAAAGGTAACTATAACACGTGCAGGTTAAAAAGCGATTTTTCTTCTCCTTACCTGGTATCCATTTTAAGCTATAGGTGTGCCAATTTCCTTGGCCGAATTTTGAAAAGTGCTTGCCCATGCCTGCCAACTATGAGGCCAAAACCATCTAATGTTGCACCACCACCACGTCGTTTTCATGGTATTACAGCGGAAGACGACTTGTAGAACTGGTGGTATTTGGAAAAGGTATGAATGATTTGTTGGGTTCGGATATTTTTCCTTGGAATCAGCACCCACGAGCAGAAAGTATGTAACCTGATTTTGACCAATAACCAATCTGCTCAACATTCTGACAAACATGACGAATTATGATGGGTACGAAATATCCCGTTCGACATTGTCCCTCAAGTTGTGTTCGGGTTCATCTTTACGGATCCGTTACCAGCAGACATGTATCTGGCTTTCAATGTTGATTTCTGATTCCCACTTCCCTCATCAAAACGATGCTCCCAGGCCCCTGGTTTCATTTAATTCTTTCACCATCACTAGTCCCTGATTTCTGGATCCCATTCATTGTTTTGAAACACCAGGTTTTGGCTCCTGGCTCTCGCCGATTTTTTACAAGCTCAACATAAGGTTAATAGTTCCAATTAGTTCATCACAAGCACCACACCCTTGTTTTTGGTTTCCATTAATTCACTCACGAGCCGTTCGATTTCGACTCCTGTTGGCTCATTTGTCATCATTTGACAACATTCTGTCATTTAACTTATGTTTGAAGTCAAAGATGTCTTACATTTGTTCTTTAATGCGTGTGCAGAGCGCATAACGTAAGCCCGCCAGGTAAATACGTCATGGCTTCGAACAAAGCTTCCAGGCAAGATCCTGCTTCTTGTCGGTGCCTTTGACTTTTTGCTGCATCTCGGTTGTTGCTGGATCCTGATTACATTTCCAGGCTGGCTCTGGATTCTTGCGGGGTCTCCGGCCGTATTATTGGCTAAACATTTGTTTAATTCAGCGCTGAATACTGGTTCTGGCTGCATCTCCGAATTAATTTCAAACCAGCTTCTAGGTCTTCTTGGTTCCGGTACCAGCAACCGAGAACAGGCTGGGACCGGATCCCGGAAAAAAAATCGGGAACCAGGCAAATAGCTTTTTGCGGGTCACATTGATTATGTTTGCCAGCATCGCCGTGCGCCGGTGCGTCGCAGTACGCCACGGTTGCCAGTATTAAAAAAAGCAAACAATTCCACTGAAGTTTAAATAGCGTTCAGGTCTGAGTTAGTCGTAGCAAATTCTTGCCACTTTAACGTTGATTGTGAAAGTAATAACATCCAGTTAAAACCACTCCTCTGTAAACGGCTTAAACCAACTGATTGGCCTCAGGTCACCATGGTTGCGCTACTTATGTATCTGGCGCATGGCCTGATACGGAATCGGACACGTCTTGATGCTGCAGCTCAAGACATAATGCCTTAGGCAGCTTGTTCATCATGTTCATGATGTTGCACGACGCGGGAGCTCCCTCGCGTGGGGCTTACACCAACAGCATTATGACTTGCGATTAAATGACACACGGTCAGAGAGTTGGCGGGCAGACCGGTCGGCAGCTTGGTCGATGGCCGCTCTTGCTGGTGCCGGCACCAGGACACCACTTCAGGATCGAAGAGCAGCTCCTGCAGGCCGTCGGCGACGGGCCGTATCAGGAGCGGGGCCGGGCCCCTGACCTGACCTGAGAACTCCTGACCCGGGCCGCGTCCCGGGGTCAGGAGTTCTCGCTGCGTAGGGTGGGCCGGGCGGCCACGTCGTCCGGCGCCGTGACCGGCGCTAGGGTCATGGCGCCGGGTGGTCGGCCTCCTGAGGCTCACGGACACCCGCGGTCCGACCCGTAGTCGCGGACGGGCGTGGCGGCTCTGGGACTGCAACGCCATTAACAAGAGGACCGCGTTGACGGTGTGGGACGCTTTAAAGTCGTTGCCCATCTGCGGGTACAGAGCCAGGCAGGTCTGGAGCCAGCAGCATCCCACCCCATGTCACACGGACCGATATTGGTGCCGGGTGAACAGCTCTGCCGATCTATCTGCCGATGCATTTGGAAATGACACCATATGTATCTAAGATAGCCAAAGTGGTGTTCAGTCGTTTTTAATATTCTAGCCAATCCTATGGCATTCAATACCCGACCAAAACGATGCTTGACACTACGCAGGACACAGATCAATGATACAGTAATAATTACTTAATATTCCCTTAAATAGCATCCAAAAACATCATCCCTTCTTAAGCTCATACCCGGGTCAGCACTTATAAGCAGCTGTTGGTTGATCCCCGATGCTTACATTCACACTGGTGTCTCACCTCAAGCCTTACCTTTGTTGTTTTGATTTGCAAGGTCATGAAAAGGTATCACATCACTGCGCCAGATAAGCCGTCAAAACAAAATGAGCACCTCAAATAAAAAGTAAGCCGCGTGGAGAGCCGCAGCTGACTTCTATTGATCATTGCTAGAGTAATCTTTGGGGTTATCCGATATTCTAGCTTTCAAAACAACTGGATATCTCCTAAAATACCGACATTTTGCGCTCTACTTACCGAAGCAAAAACAACGCGAGCGTGAGTTTTGATCCCGGTGCCGCGGAGCTAATCACCATGGCAACCGGGGTTTCACGGGTTTTCAAACTGTGACACCACCTCCTCTGACCAATCACGGGATAAGAATCGCACCTGAATGTGGCTGACGCATGACCTGAGAATCCATTGCTAGGACTTGGTTGTTGTATTGTGTGCATAGCTTGTCACTGGCAAATACAAGTCCCAGAAGTGAACGCCAGCTAACCATGTGCCTTTGAGTGACACATCACAGAACTGTTCTGGTCACTTGATGGTTCAGGTAAAGCACGTTAACGGAAGCCCTGCCTTTCGAGGTGTATGAACGCTTGATAACCACTGAGCACGTAAGGCCGCTTATCCACACAAAACTCATGCCGTTAACTTGAGAACTGAGACGGCTGATGCCGGAACTGAGACGGCTGATGCCTTTTGGTGTGGTGAGAAGGATGATAACTGCGCTACTAGCATCTTTCAATCTTTTTTACTAGTTTTTCCTTTTTTCCAACCGTCTGGAGCCGTCTTCCTGGACCACCGAGAGAGGAGTAGGGGCAGATGACTGGCTGGTATTGCGCCGGCCGGCCGGCTGGCGGAGAGCTGCGGAACGCGCGTGTAAGCCCGGCTATGTTTGCGTCCGCACTCCACGAGGATTCGGCGAGTCTTCATTCATGTATAAGTAGTCTGCGATGAAGTATTGAACGACGATTTATAAAATCGAGATTTCTAACTAAACAAAGCTGTTATCAACTTGGCAAATCGGCCTTTTGTGGTGGAAAAGCAACGTAATCCGGTGATGGTGGCAACACTTACATTTTCCTTTAACTTTGGACGTTGGATTGCCTGTATAATGCTGTTTTTTTTTATTCAGAACATGCGCAATGGCTTAGGAGTTGTCATCCTTCTACTCAGCATATTTCTATTATGAGGTTATAATCTGACGTGATCACCAGCTGGGCTTAGAGGTCTCAAAATTTCACAATCGTAATCAGAGCATGACTGAACAAAGCAGGTCAAATCTTATTCGGATTTGTGATGTTGGTACGAAGAAACTGCACCTTATGTGGTTAAATTGACGGGAAACGACGCCGCATGCAACAGACGAAAAAAAGGTCACTTCGTCGCGGCCCCAGCATGTGGCGCCCCCTACGATTCGGGTCGTCGATTGCCCACCCACCGCCACCTGGCGGCTCGGGGTATGTAATGCTCCGCTGGCCGGCTGCATTTCCCATCATCTGCACATCTGGACCTCGGAGGTCACTGGGGTTGCCGGTAGCCCGCCGCCCCGGCGCTGCTGTGGCTGCCGCCGCGGATGCATTGCGGATGTTGCACTCCTGTGTCCGTGTTGATGTGTTGCATGTGTTGCCATGACGGCCTGTGGCCGTTCCGAACGCAGCATCGACGCCGCCCGGATCAATGCAGGCACTGTGCTGTCCTTTGTGTCCACTGTGCACATGCGGAAAAGCAGCGGGATACGGACACGGTGGCGTGTAATTCCGCTTCGTCGTAATGAAAGAGCACATTGGTCATGCCAGCGCAGCTGTCCAGAATTCGTCGGGCGAGGTTTAACAGGTCACAATGTTGTGCGCTGATGCGTGCCGTCCTAGTCCTGAAGAAAGGAGACAGGCTGGTGTGTCGTATCGCGTTTGGGGTCTTCGGGTTTTGGGTACATCTTAGGAAGAAACTAGACGTTTCACGCCATGTCGGCGTTTCATGTAGTTTTCGTTGAAGTGCCCACGTTACGTGATTTGGCTGACAATTTGAGGTACTCGCCGTTACTTCGAACGCCCCTGACCACGCCGCTGGTGGCTCACAAACTGGAGATGGTTTGCGAGAGGGGCTGCGCGGCTGCTGAGGGGGGGAGGGGGGGGGGGGCGGCGGGGCGGGGGGAGATCTGTCTACATCCGGCGCGCGGGGTGCAGGCAGCTTCCCGCCAAGTCGTGAAGAGAGGAGCTCTTGTCGAAATACCGTTACCATGGATACTGACTTGGAGTCAGAGTTGGAGCGCTGGGTGAGACTGAAGAGAAAACAAATTACAGCAAATGTTGATGTATCGTACCGCCAAACGTCACGAAAAATACGCATCCATGTCGCTTTCACGAGAAAGTGGACGTCTTTCGCAACTTTTCGACAGAAACAATGGTGATGAACGGTTCCGTGAGTTTCTATACGCCAGAAAACAATGTCTATCTATGTTCGCGTGCAAGTAGGTTCAAAGTCACCCCTAAATGGCCATATTCCGGCTGAACACAACTTCGTTACCCTGTGCATGGGTGAAATGGAGATAGGACGAACGAGCCAGGCGACCGGCTCGTGACATCTCTGTTCCGGGGCAAGGCGCCCTCTGACCGAAGAGGAGGCGCGGCGTACACGCAGTGCCGGTGCAGACACCAGAAATGCAACCGGCGACAAGGACGGTGGACGAGAGAAGAGGTAGTGAAGTCGCGTCGCTTCCGCTGCGTCAGAGAGGACCGTGTCACCACCGCGTCACCGTGGTGGGAGGCGCGGCGTCGCAGGGTTACGCGGCGTGCTGGCTCTCGCTGTGCGGCAGGTGCCTTGTCGTCCGCTCTACAACGGAAGGCTGTACTGGGGAGGGCTGGCCAGATACTTCTTGATGCCGTCCAGGGCCAGCACCTTGTTCTTCTGGCCGGCCAGCTTGGGGAACTTGGCCAATAAGTCGGGCCGGGCCTCCTCCAGGCGGGAGAGCCAGTGGCCCACAAACACGTCCTGCCACATCGCCTGAAACAGTCACAAACAAGGTCACGTTTCCGGGTCAATGTTTGCAGGGTAAAGGTCAATGGTACTGATGAAATTCACAGGGTACGGGTCAAGCTCACAGGTGATAGGCTGCAGGTGATAGGCGGCGGGCGATGGACACATACGATGGTTAAAGCCATTGGCGCTACCATGTCATGATGAAGGTTAAGATAAAGGTTTCATTGCAGCTTTCCGCAGGTCCAAAAGAAATGCCAGAATTAGAGGAATTAAAGTGTCCGTTAGTTAAGTCGAATGTCAGTTAGCGTGTAAGTCGTATGTAGTTCGCTATCTAACTGAGGTACGCACATATGGTGCCGCGCGACAAGCAAATGCCCCTTGCAATGATGCACATACATCTAGCGACACTCATGCCGAATCAGAAGCTAATGACGTTCCCCTTACTGATGACGGCCGCTGGGCGTGAGACACAGAAGTCATCATTAATTACCTTGTCGTCAGCGAGGAATGCTCCGCTCATCCGCGACTCCCAGACGTTCAACACCTTCGGCAGGTATTCCTCGAACAGCGACTTCTCTGTGGACGCTTTCTTCTCAGCATCCTTCTCGAACCTGCAGCCGAAACGCAGCGTCATGCAGCCGACAAAACTGATGACTTGGTGAACCTGACTGTTCACGAGGCAGCTCAGCAGGTAACTCGGCGAACCTGACTGCTCGTGTGGCAGCTCCGTTCTCTCCGAGACTTCTCTGGTACACACTCAACTAGCAGCAGCGCGCAGCAGCAGGAGATCCTCACACGACTCGGACACATAACAGTTGTCGCAAGGCGTGTACACCAGGCCCCGGTCTCTGCAACACCCTTCCCCAGTAAGTCCTTCTCTTCTTCCAGAAGAACACGATACAGAACAGGGACAACGCCGATGCGGGCCCGGCTACAGGTCTTTTGGATGGCTGCTAAATATCCGGTGTCCGGGGCCCAGACCACCCTGTAACACGGGTAAGGAAGAGCACAGACGACGGGCTTACACTGTATCGAAGAACTTGGAGACCACCTCGGCCATGGTGTCGGCCGCCTCGTCCCCAAGGGCGTTCTTCAGCGCATCCTTGGAGACGAGTCCGCCGAGGGTGCCGGCGTACCGCGCTATGGCCAGGGTCTGACACAGCGGCTGGCCGTCCACCATCAGGATTGGCACGCTGCCGTATGGTGTGTCTGCAACCAGACAACCGCAACCGTCAACACCGCCAGACTCGTTGTAGTGCCGCACGGTGTGCCCGCAACCAGACAACCGCAACCGTCAACACCGCCAGACTCGTTGTAGTGTCGTACGGTGTGCCCGCAACCAGACAACCGCAACCGTCAACACCGCCAGACTCGCTATAGTGCCGCACGGTGTGTCTGCAACCAGACAACCGCAACCGTCAACACCGCCAGACTCGTTATAGTGCCGCATGGTGTGTCTGCAACCAAACAACCGCAGCTGTCCCACTGAAGACAACCACAACAGTCTGGACCGCTGGAAACACTGTCGGTGTCGGGACATACCGCCTACTGAAGACAACCACGGCTGTCCAGCTGAAGACAACCACAACAGTCTAGACCGCTGGAAACACTGTCGGTGTCGGGACATACCGCCTACTGAAGACAACCACGGCTGTCCAGCTGAAGACAACCACAACAGTCTAGATCACTGCAAACCCTGTCAGTATCGGGACACACAGCTTACTGAAGACAACCGCAGCTGTCCCACTGAAGACAGTCACAGCAGTCTGGGCCACTGGCAACACTGTCAGTGTCGGGACATACAGTCTACCGCGCGATCATTTACTACCGTCATTCCAACCACCCAACCACAATCACGCGCACAACCAAACCATCGTCAGAACGTGAGTCCCGTCATTCGGCGTGCCGGCAGACAACCATAGCTGTTTAGAGTTAAAAAGGCTAAAGCTGTTTGAACGTTTGGTGTGTCAGACCAGACTGACCTTGAAAGCTTATTTTTTACATATTTCTTTAAAATTCCCCTTAACTAAAGACCAATGGCGCGGCCGTCCAGAAGTTCACAAAAACTGCGGTGAACGCGACTATAACAACCGCACAGCCTTTCATTCCAAAACAACAACCGCCATGCATAAGCCGAGACGGCGCGGCCACCTAGCCACGTGTGAGACGGCAGAAAATTACAGTTGCGCTGTACTGGACCAACGAGCCCTGTATTCGAGCGGAGTGGGAATAGTCCGAAACTCCGAACCCTCCCTGCTCTAAGGTAGAACACGTCATCTTAATGTTCACAGACGCGAAAGCATCTCACAGCCTTCGAGGACTCTCATCCACTATGAGCATCGGATCAGGCCATCACGGCGCCGCTCCAGGTGGGCTGTGGGCAGATTTGGGCTGTGGGCAGCCGGGCCTCCGCCGCGGCCTTGACGTGGCTGATAACGCTAACTGCTTACTCTGCGACGCGACGCCAGCACTGTGTCAACGGGCGCGCACTCTTGTTAATAGTCGCACAAACGCTGATACGCGTCCGCGCGGCTTAGACGATACCTTCCCTTATCAGGTGCCCATCACGGTCAGGCCATGCGTTATCGATTTCTAGCTAGATCACCGCGTGAAACTTCGTCATGCATTGAAGCCCATGCGCTACCTACTGAATTCACTTTTGTTCAGCTCCTTTAATGTTTCCATCGATCGTGCCGTACTATGACATGCATGGCTCACTCCTAACACCATATTTCTCGCGCAGCGCGTGAAAATGCCTCCGCCCCCCCCCCCCCCCCCCCCCCAGCTGCGCCGGAGAGAGCTGCACTGCTAGAGTACGGACAATAGCGTACACGTGATGGGCCAGCGCACGGAAGAGCTGATCTCAATGAAGTCGAACCACGATTTCCTGCATGCGTGGCAGGCATGCAGGAAATCGTGGGCTCTAACAGTTGCGATGGACAGGTCTCTCGATCACTGTGTCGTTTTCGTGCGAATAAGATGAGCTGTGTTGCAATAATTCGCAACGTGGCAGAGCAGCCTTGTCCTTTACACCTAGAAAACCGCGGGCAAATACGGTATAACGCATTACACAGTACAGGCATGCCCGCATTTTCAGCAGGCACAAGTCTAGCGGCGCGTGTGCTGACAGGCGGGACAGTCTGGGTCGCCCCCGCAGGCTAGGTGACAGTCTGGGTCGCTCCCGCAGGCTAGGTGACAGTCTGGGTCACTACCGAAGGCTAGGTGACAGTCTGGGTTACTACCGAAGGCTAGGTGACAGTCTGGGTCACTACCGAAGGCTAGGTGACAGTCTGTGTCGCTGCCGCAGGCTAGGTGACAGTCTGTGCCGCTGCCGCAGGCTAGGTGACAGTCTGGGTCACTACCGAAGGCTAGGTGACAGTCTGTGTCGCTGCCAAAGGCTAGGTGACAGTCTGGGTCGCTCGCGCAGGCTAGGTGACGGTCTGGGTCACTACCGAAGGCTAGGTGACAGTCTGGGTCACTACCGAAGGCTAGGTGACAGTCTGTGTCACTACCAAAGGCTAGGTGACAGTCTGGGTCGCTTCCGCAGGCTAGGTGACAGTCTGGGTCGCTCCCGCAGGCTAGGTGACAGTCTGTGTCGCTCCCGCTGGCTAGGGGACAGTCTGTGTGACCTCTATCGGGCACAGATATGTGACCAGCAATGACCTCTATCAGGGTCAGAGCCCACTCATTCCCGGGTCTTCAGAAATTCGATAATAACTTGCGAACCACTTCACACACGACTCACCAAACAGCTTGCGTTCAGTGGTTTGGAACAGATTACCCAGATGAAAAACTCGCGCTGCGAAACACGGCACACCAACCGCCGGGCACAATAGCGGCCGGCTGCTTTCATTCCGCCTGTCGGACGAACGGCGAACGCATGCATAAACAGGTCAACCGGCAGTTACCACGCGCGACCTGGCGGCCGGCAGCGGCCGCTTCACTTGGGAGCGTTCCCGGCCCGCGCTTCCGGGTCGTCGAACCCGCCGACGCCGCCTCATGGCCGCCGGCTAACAGACAGGCGCACGCGCAGACAGACGGACAAAAACGCGACGGCCGGCATGTGGGCCGAGCGGGCCACGCGGCGGCCGCACCCCCTGAGGCACGGACCACGCGGCGGTCGTGGACCCTGGAGGCACGGACCACGCGGCGGCTGCGGCTCCCGGAGGGACGGACCACGCTGCGGCCGCAGCCCCGGAGGGACGGCCCATGCGGAGGCCGCGACACCGGAGGGACGGCTACGCGGAGGCCGTGGACCCGGAAAAGCGCACCGTCGAACGACAGGCGATAGTACACCTTCCACTATGGATGGTCAGTGAGATCGCATGGGGCACTCGGTCACGTATTATGAGCTGGATGCGGACGGGTCACGTGGTGCATCTTTGCCAGTTCGGTGTTTTGTGACGTCATGACGGCTAGTAGCCCCGCTGCTGGATAATACGCACGATGGTGATAAACGTTATGGGGCGCGTGGACTACTGCGGTCATTTTATGCTTGATAACGCTTGTGGGGGAAAAAAAAACATCAAATGTCGAAGAAAATGCACGATGACTCATCTTCATCACGTAGCCTCACTTGTTACATGTTTGGTACCAACGGCTAAATTTCAAGGTAATGAAGCCATCGTTATTATCCACCATGTATCACGATGCATGCCCCACTTACATGCGCCACGACTAACCATCCTCGCGGAACTTGACTTCTTACAGGCAAGGCAACTATGGCTAAATTTCGAGGCAATGACACTAATGTGTATGCTACCACTGGTCCACGTGTGCAGCCATGCGTGACACGCTATTCCAAAGACGCGAATATCGAACACATCTCGAGCACGCAGCCGCGTTTCGATGGTCCCATGTCACCATTCTTTATTTCTAGCTCCCGTCCGTACCAGCGTCATTGCCATGACAACGTTTAAACGAATCGCACGCAGCCAGCCGTCTTGGCTGTCCCGTGCCGTTACGTAACGCGGCAGTCCGTTGCGTTCTCCGCCCATCCTGATACGGCAATAGCGGCCGCTGTCCCCCGCTGGCTGGCGCGGACTGTCTGTCACGGCACCTCACCGTGACTCGAGACTTTCACATCACGGGTCAGCCCGCCAGGCGATGACCCGCGTGAAAGCGACTTCCAGCAGCGGGCCGCTCGCCGCCGCATAAATCCAGCCTGCGTGTGCTCGAGCCGGCCCCGCGGCACGCACGCACGCAGAGATGAGCCCGCACGTCCGCACGCACGCACACACGCACGCACCGCATGGCAACAACGAACTATGGGCAAACACATGGCGAAACAGCAATTCCAGTGGCGCCAGCGGCGTCAAGTTGAATAGATTTATAGCAGTTTCCCTCTCACCATGGCGCCATCAATATTGCGGCGCTTTCCCAACGTTGGGAGGAGTGCGGGCGGGAGGCGCTTTCACCAACGCCGACATGCCGCGCATCTGGCACTGCCGTCACCCTCAGTAAGGGAGGCCGCGCCGGGCATGCGAAGGACGGTGGCAATCAGCCTATGCGCCGGCTGTTGTGTCGCGGCTGTATTTCATCATCCCGTCACTATTTTGCTATTTAATGGATTTGTTACGCAAAAATTTGCTTCGAAATTTGATTTTCGTAGAATGGACAGAGAATTTTGATTAACGCCAGTTGTAACACCAACAGATAGCGAACGGCGGAAATATGGTCACAATTTTACTTTGTTTTCGACCATAACACAGCGGTTCATAGCATTGTCACAAATCATGGATCATTATAACCAACAAGCGACAGCTCACAACGCCGCCATGACTGGTACGAATTACGATCACGTAAGGCCCATCTTGAGATCACGACATTGCAACATTATCACCGCAGCATTAATGGCAAATCACAGCAAAAAGACACATAAACTGCGAGAATGCTCGACAGTTTACACCGTATTACATGAAACACTGACTTTTTGGTTAGTCCAATTTGTACGCAAGTTGTTCAGTGCATTAGCGAGGAATAGCATTCACATGGATAAGACAGTAGTATGAGCCTTATTCCTCGGAGAACACGAGGAGACTGGAGATGGCGTTGGGTTAAGCAAACTATGCCTCCATTCTCCTGGTTTTCTCCGAGAAATAAGGCTAACACTACCGTCTTATCCAAGTCCAATGTTTGCAGCTGCACTCACTTGGCTTGCGGGCAGGCCAGGCGTCGAAGCCGAACGTCTCCTGCTCGAAGGGCACGTTACCGGCGGCCAGGATCCAGCGCAAAGGCTCGGCCCGACCCTTTCCATCAAAGTAGATCAGCTTGAGAGCCGGCATCTTCGGTCTGCAACACAGCCGGTGCCGGCGGTCATCACAGGGCGACGCATCGACGCGTTAAGCCTACAGCCAGGTAGACAGTGCTTCAGTCTCAGACGCGGATCCCAGATCGCGCGGAGCTTGAGGTGAGCCAGCTCGGATCCGAGGTTCAGCGGAACACTCTGTAATACCCATACGGGGAGTGTAGCTGGTCTCATATTCCGCGCTGTTTCAGACTCGGGAGCAGGGAAGCTGGCCGCCGTCTGCTCTGGTGGATCCGCAAAGGAGCGCGACTAATCGCCAATTCCGCAAAGCGAATCCCCCACACAGAAATATCAAAGACCCGTGTCTGCGCCCGTCCTTTCAAGCGCATGTCCGTCCACGGCGTGCGCACACAGTGAAGCGGATATTCTGTAGCCCGCGTTTTCAGTACGCTAACGATGACGCACAGTCTCCACCAAGGCCGCGCGACGTGGAAACGCCACCACAAAGCGGCCCTCCAGAGCCGCCCACCGTGCCGCCCCGCCGCTGATAGTCTGACGGCGCGCGTGGTATTGAACAGTAGACCTTGGACTGGGACAGAACACCTGTGACGGGCCCGGCCTGTGCGATCTTGGTCAATGACCTGCCACCGCCGCAGCACAGGTGTCCACCCGGGGGGGGGGGGGGGGGGGGGAGAGTCTGGAGGTAGGCAGGTCATGCCCATAGCTCATTTCATAGCAATCTTGCTCTTTCATAGGACGCCTGCAGTTCTTCGTCATTGCTGACTGCCAAGTTAATTCCGACATGACATGACACGGTGAATTGTAAGGTATAACGCAAGGAAAGGAATGACATTTCGAAAGAGAAAAGACAAAGGTGATACCGAAGGTCCAAACAGACCCACACGGGGTCACAACCTCAATCACGAACCCGTCGAGTCGACAACTTCTCAACGGCTCGCGTCCTGTAGAGTCACGCACAACGAACAATGACAACAGGACGTTGCCATCACAAACGTGTCTCGCAAAGAAACCGAATTATATGAACGCTAATTGCTCATCGCCGGGTAAACTATCTACCGTATTTCCGGGACACCCAGAACCTCGCAGAAATAGAGCGACCTCTTCGCCTATTCTTCCGGCGACACCAGGCCACAGCCCGTCGCTATCGCCCTGCCGCCGTGCCGACCGTCAGCCTCCACAGGTTCGGCGTCGATTCCGATCTCCGTGTCTGGTCAAGCCGACTCCGATTGGCATGTCCGGTGGAGGCGGGCGCGCCCGTCGCGCGCGCGGCCCGATGCTGGTCTGACTGACGTCACCGGCGATGGGTCCGACGCCGGAAGACGCGGGCCCGCGCTGGCCGGAATGGGCCGATGGCGTGCCGGACAAAAACGCCTGATCGCTCTCCTATCGCCCTCGATCGCTTCTGTCATCTAGAGGAGCTGCGTTCATTAGATAATTGGCCTGTCGTTAACTGTCGATCGCTGCTGAAGCCCACACAATACAGCACTGGCAACGGACCCTAACTACGTGATATTTGCTGTCTACACGTTAGCTATTAGGCTTTACAGATAACCGCCCACTTGGCAGCTTTTATTGTTGACAGCGAACATGCCGCAGGAATGTCGAATATTAACGTCGGAGAAAGGGCACCTGGACTGCCCGAATACCACGCCGGCTGCACCGATACTCGCCCGCCCCGATACAGTGCAGCGCCACGGTAAATCACCCTTTTATAGGGCCTTGCTGCACCCGAACACAGCATTATCGACCGACCAGCGAGCGCGGACGACCAGCACGGCAGCAGCCGGCCGAGCGAGCACGCCTGTTACCGGCGTTCGGTTGAGAACGGCAGCCGGGCATGGTGACCCCCCGGCCTGTCGACCTGAGGCGCGGTGTGATCTTCCAACCGTGGCAAAAGCCGGCGGTACTACATCGGTGGGTACTAAACTTTTAGGGGCCGGCACTTAAATGGTACCGACGACGATTTACCAGTAAAAGGAAATATAGTTCTTTCATGAATGAATTTATATCAGGCAACAGGGTTTTGGGAGCCATTTTTCCTCGGATTAGGCCGGTATCATGCATCTATACTCGATATGTGCACCGATGGCGGCGTCCGCGCCCATGATTCAGCTGCACACAGACGGGCAGCAGCAAGCCGTCACACGTCACGGGGGTGGGGCCGGCACCAAAATATATCGCCCCCTCCCCGCCACGTCTGGTCGACAGCCGCGCTCCCGGCGTGCGCGCGGCACGGCACGTCACGTCGCGCCACGTCTCGCCATAGCCACGTGACGGCAACAGATGGCAGGACAGACCGGCGCGACCAGCACTGCCGGCTCCGTCTCAGTGGAGAATTCATCAACGTATACCGAGCTCCAGACTACCATCATTGACGAGGAATAAAAACGGTCGGCCTTCAGACCGATGTGATGCTGCTGCTAGTTGTCTTCAGATGGTGTCTTTCCACACGAAGTTCAGAACATTAGGAAGGCTATGGCAGACCAGCAACCATCCCAATACGGCTGCCAGGACAGAGATCGCGGAAGCCGAAAACCGTAGTGTCTATCCGAACCATCCACCGTACCGCGCCGCATCAATTGGCATATCTTGAGCAGCCGCTAAGGCGGAATGTGGTTCGAGATGTCAGGTGGGCCGAGGGAGGGGGGGGGGGAAGAAGCCCTCTGCAACCCTCCGCTGTCGCGAGTATGAATCGTGAGCGGGCGCTCGCTGTGAACGACGGAGCGTCACCAGCGTTCGCTGTGAACGACCAAGCGTCACCAGCCTTTGCTGTGAACGACCAAGCATCACCAGCCTTCTCGCTGTGAACGACCAAGCGTCACCAGCCTTCTCGCTGTAAATGACGGAGCGTCACCAGCCTTCTCGCTGTGAACGACGGAACGTCACCAGCCTTCTCGCTGTGAACGACGGAGCGTCACCAGCCTTCGCTGTGAACGACGGAGCGTCACCAGCCTTCGCTGTGAACGACCAAGCGTCACCAGCCTTCGCTGTGAACGAAGGAGCGTCACCAGCCTTCGCTGTGAACGACAAAGCGTCACCAGCCTTCGCTGTGAACGACCAAGCGTCACCAGCCTTTGCTGTGAACGACGGAGCGTCGCCAGCCTTCGCTGTGAACGACGGAGCGTCACCAACCTTCGATAGCTGTCAGCGAGCCGCTGCTCAGATGTCCCTACTGAAGCTCAGGGGGACGAAGATCTGCCTGACCATGTCATCAACATGGCAGCATCGTCGCCACCGTTAGAGGCGCCGTGAACGTCTCGGGTGACTTAGCATGCGCCGCCTCACCGGCCCACTGCAGCGTCGCCCAGCCGCCACTGACGACCTGTGGCTCGCTGACACTGCAGACCACCGGATATCCTGAATATTGACGTGCGAGAACATCTCATTTCCACTTCGAGAACATCTCAAGAACATCTCATTTCGTGCGGCATTGTGACAACAAATCGAGGGAACGCAGGTTAAGGTGGCACGTGTTTTACGACTACATTAAATAACAGCGCCGCCTGGCATCGATCCGTTGAGAAATCAAGCCAACTCAATACTAGGTAACGCGCTCCGGGCCACTTAACACAAGGCAATGAGTACGAATTGCGGTGGCTGAGGAATGAGGTATATGTTGTTTCTCTATCTGACAACGTTATCCCAAACCCCACCCGGTCACTGGCATTTCCTCATTAGTTCATAATTTCGCCATTCCAGAATTAATAGGAAACATCTCCCTTCCCTTGATCCGGAAATTTAATTAATGCCACCTCGTTTCTTAACAAAGCATCCCAGCACTTCCGTCGAAAAAACCGTGGATTTACGTAATACATCGCGGCCACGGGACCAATGACATCACGTTCACGAACATCTCGTTCCACATGACAACTGAATCATTCCAGTAAATTGGAAAGCATTTTAAGTTGCTCAGCATCATACCACCCGACGTCGGACTGTTACACTGGCTCACACATACGCAAACAAAAATGGCGCATGAAGACCTTAATGTAATCCGCAATCATTGCCCACGTGATTGCTCTGACTAGCGCGAATGTTGGAAGCGGGGTAACGGAAGGTAACAGGGCAGCCACGTTATTTCCGGCAAGCATCTAACATTAACCATGCGGTGCTGCAAGGAAGAGACAATGGGAATACCGTCTTCCCAATCGGGTCTTCATAGCGAACCCACCGACAACGGGCGATGAAAGCGATCAAATACGCAATAACCAAGGAAAAAACAGTGGGAAGACCGTCTTCCCAATCAGATCTTCATAGCGGACCCGCCGACAACAGACGATGAAAGCGATCAAATACGCAATAACCAAGGAAGTAACGATGGGAATACCGTCTTCCCAATCGGATCTTCATAGCAAACCCGCCGACAACAGACATCGAAAGCGATCAAATACGCAATAAGCAAGGAAGAAACAGTGGGAAGACTGTCTTCCCAATCAGATCCTCACAGCGAACCCGCCGACAACAGACGATGAAAGCGACCAAATACGCAATAACCAAGGAAGAAACAGTGGGAAGATCGTCTTCCCAATCGGGCCTTCATAGCAAACCCGCCGACAACAGACCATGAAAGCGATCAAATACGCAATAACCACATCACCGTAACCGTCCCCTCAAGATAAATATGCTGTAGCCCCGGGGAAGCGTGCGTATAACTTACGTCGGGTTCTGTTCCTTGGCCACGCGACCCTCCTTCGACGCTCTTCCGACCACACTGCCCATCTGTGCGCCCGCTCCGTCCGTTTCTATGCGCTCAGATAGAGGCTACGACCGGCCGAACCTCGGCAGCCCAGGAACGTCGGCACCATCTGCGCGCGCAGAACCGCCGCGGGGCATGATGGCAGACGCCGCCGGAGCTCCGCTTACGCGCGAAGCCGCCTCGTCATGTAGCCGCCGGCGAAGCCCCGCTGAGTCACGATGATGATTGGCGGAAGGTGCTGGAAGGAGACGCTCGTCAGAGCTCTGATGGGAGTGCTCGCGGCCGGTGATTTGGGCCGAGAAGGTGCACGATTGTCGCGAGTCACGGTGACGTCACCCATTGACCGACGTGTACGGGGGTGAAACGAGCCACCTTTCCCAAACGCAGGCCTGCGCCCGGGCTTCGCGCGTGGTGATGGGAGCGGTATGCTAATGTCAGACTGTTATGCCTGCCGAACCAAGGCCAACGGAAAAACACGTTGGAGGCCATACTCACCCGACCCGTAAATACAAGAGCACCCACAAACGCACGCCCCACCCCGCCTACATGCAAGGTTGAGGGAGCCGATGCACGCACATCACAATACTGTGGGTAACTCGTGGGTAAGCAGCGCAGGGCGGGTTTCATGATTCCCGATGTACCTCGTCGTACATCCATGCCACCGGCGCTTCATTACCGCCCTGTGTAATGAAGGGCGCCGTTGCATGACGCGTAGCCATTGGGTGGTGGTGTTCTCATACGAAGTCAAAATCGCAACATAGCATTGTAAGAAACAAAACTTGTCGAGTACGGGACAGTGCGCGACTAATAACAAAGCCGCAGCAACGAGCTGAACGGTAATCGAGCCCCCCATCAGCCGAGTCACCCCCGATCATTCATAAACATCGAGTCACCCCCAGAAATCCCTGAAAGAGCCCGCCAAGTGCTGAAAAAACCGTTCAATGCAAAACCAGGTTTTTGTCGAGGTGTTTGTTCGACACAACTGCAGCGTCGTCACATGTCAACATCTTTGCACTAGGCCAGCACCCAGCACACAGTGGAGCGGGCGAATGAGGGAAGCCTTCAAAGAGAGTCTGGCACCTTTGTTTGCACTCCTCACTCCCAGTTAAAGATCAGGCGCGTCCAGCTTGGTCGGTACACCACTCGTCCCGAAATGCTTCCGAATAGCTCGGAGCTTTGATTTGGGGTAGCCGCTCAGACGAGAGGTATGCCTTTGAACAGTGGCAGGGGGGGGGGGGGGGGGCGGGAGGCGGGAGGTGTCTCCACCGCTACACCTGACCGCGAGGGAGGCGTCTCCACCACTAGACCTGACCGTGAGGGAGGCGCCTCCACCGCTACACCTGGCCGTGAGGGAGGTGTCTCCACCGCCACACCTGATCGTGAGGGTGGCATCTCCACCGCCACACCTGATCGTGAGGGAGGCGTCTCCAGCGCTGCACCTGACCGTGAGGGAGGCGTCTCCACCGCCACACCTGACCGTGAGTGACTGCCACACCGCCCGCCCGACCGCCACAGCTGTCCGCAGATAGCCTTCGCCTCCGTATGGGAGGCCTCTGAGACCTTTCTGCCCTTTCAGAGATGCTACAGATGCGGCGGTTTCGTGCTCTGATTCACTGCTATAAACTAAAGATGGGAGCCGAGGGCGCGGAGTTCAAAGACGCTGAGAATGCGCAGCAGACGATGAGTGCCCATCGCTTTGTGTGCTGTGTGCGACACGTGCAGGGGCCGCGAGATGTGTCGCTGCACTTAGCCGTGGAAAAGGACACAACCGAAGACTCGGCCAGGAGAATTATCAACCGCTCTGGTTTAAGAGGTGGTACCGAAGGTGAGATAGTGGACGGACTGTCTGAATTTGGTGGTGGCTCATTTTGGTCACCGCTCACCATACGTCTTGAAGGATAGTCGATATAACCGCACGTTTGTTCGTGACAGACACTGTGAGGGATTACTACAGCAGTCACACTGCCTTGTGAACACAGAGACTAAGGTCCGTTTTACTCTGCCATCGCGACAGCCGTGGGCACTGGACTCCAGCTCATCAAGTCCACAGTTGGTAAACCATTTCTGGTGGCAAGTCTCAGACGACCGCTTAGGGTGCTGCTACTTCACGACGTAGGTGTGCTATCGGGTGGAATCTTCACCCGGAGCCAGACCTCAGCACTAAAATTTTTAAAAACACTCATCAGGTTGTTTTCTAGATACGTATGAAGTTTGCCCTGAAGTCGTCATGCGTACCTGCCCTAGATAGGTCTCCATCGGTAGATGTTATCGCCGTACGGCGTAGATCCGCGATAAGTGTGTGGTCTTGGATGGTGCAGAACATACTTCTTCTAGAAGATGTAAGGTCATAGACAGGCAAAACTTTACCCATATCTTTCAAATAAGATGGAACAAAAGCTTAGCGTTCATTTGACGGGTGCAGATCTGGGCGGCATGGCGCTTAAGGGAGCCCTGCGGTGTGCGGTAGGCTCTGAGGTCTCTGATGGTCTCTGATGATCAGGCTCTGAGGTCTCTGATGGTCTCTGATGATCAGGCTCTGAGGTCTCTGATGGTCTCTGATGGTCAGGCTCTGAGGTCTCTGAGGTCTCTGATGGTCTCTGGTGATCAGGCTCTGAGGTCTCTGATGGTCTCTGATGGTCTCTGATGGTTAGGCTCTGAGGTCTCCCGATGATACGGTGCCGTTGCAGCCGGTACATAAACTCAGGTGACACCCCTCGCGCGGAAAGGGTGGTGATAGCGACGCTGCAGGCAGAGGCGGATTCGAAAAATCACCAAAGAGGGTCATCAAAAGTCACGCTGGATCTGACCCGATAGAGATATTAGCTTTCCCATGCCGGCGCTACTAGAGGAGGACAAAGGTTGGTGCATAATCTGAAATGCACGACGATACGACACATAGGGAAACCCATGGCTGGTCACCATGACTATCATAATGGACGTAACTGATTGATCCTGAGGTATTCTTGCTACATCGTTATATATATATATATATATATATATATATATATATATATATATATATGTATACCTTTTCATCATTTCACGTTCGCAGTACTTTAAGATTTGGTTCCTCGGGATGAAATCGGCAGGCAGAAAATGACGTATTGGTGTATATGGCATAGCCAACACATTTTCAAAGTAAGCGTGCCGGATGTATTTATACCCGTAAACTATAGGTCTCGCCCCGTTGATCCCATTGTCCGTGCATTTCAGATTAGTACCATGGGTCGCCATGATCTTGCAATTCCCGCTAGATCCGACGCCAGTGGTGGGTCCCAATCAATGCATTTTTATACTGAAGCAGAATTAAAAGGTCACTCATGATTGTTTGGGTATTAATGAAGGGACCATTTGCTCGGAGCGATATGAAGATTCATACATATGGGAAATTGTGATTGGCATCATGGTAGCTCGAAATACAATAGCATTTTGTCCCGATCTTTTTTATTAAACAAAACACGACGCAAGTCGTCGCACACCCGTTTATGGAGCGGCAGCGAATGCAAAGGCCACGTTAGCATCCAGGGCCCGTGGCACGACCGGGGGTCCAACTCGGGTCTCCCACGTGAAATCCGAAGGTCATTACGGTCATTACGCCCCTTCGGCCACTACATCCATTCGGCGGCCTTACATGACGCCCTAACCACTCTGCTATTACGCCCCCTTGCCTTACCATTAGCATCAACGAGAAGCCCATATTTGTACTCAGCTTGTTCTGCGGCCTGTGCCGGACCTCGCCACCCCGTGATGAGTTTACACATCGTTCAAAGATCCGGGACTAACGTGACAAGTCAGCTGGGCCCAGCGGTTGATCTCGGACGCTTTTTATAGCGCAGTCTGGCATGCGTCCCATCTCTGGCGGCTGAGTGGTTTGTTTGTCCACGAGACCATGTCGGGGTAGGACAGCGTCTCCCAGCTCAGCTCCGGAACGACAAACACGCAGATGAGGTGGGGGCTTCGCTTCCTAGCAGCAGGAAGCTGGCTTCTTTCCTTCATCTGTTATTGTCAGCTGTCGTTGCCAACGCCACGTCTTCGCGTTGCGCAAAACGAGGGTTGTTTTTCGCGGTCTTACAAGCCACGTGAGCTGTGGCATCAGCAGCCACAGGAGCTGCGGCATCAGCAGCCCTGCGTTGTGGAACGAAGAACAACACCATTGGAAAACTTCAACGCGTTTGATGCCGAGCCACAGGGGGCCGTCAACCTAGCGTAAGACCGTGATCAGCTACTTCATGTCACCGCTTGGGTGCCCCGTTTTGGTATGCATCGCCAGGATCGGCACGACCAGTCAGCCAGCGGTAGTGGTTGACGAGCCCCCAATTTTGTTCAGTGTTCATGACGGTGTTCATCCTGGGCTGACCACTATAGCCTGACAGTGCGATAGTGATACAACAGGCTGCCGTTACTGACAGTTACGTCATAGCACCCTGATACATTTTTGAGCCAAGTGCCGGCAAGGACGCCCATCGCCGCAGAGACTCCATGTCTTTGATGATAACATTGGGACAAAATGTTTCAGCTTAAAAGCTGGCGACAACATGTAATCACCGTTTTCACACTCGACGTGCTGCGACGAAAACACATAGCCCGTCGGACCCCACGCGTTCGCCTGCAGCTGCGCCGCGCGGACGGCGGCGTGTCGGAGACGGAATGGACACCGGCCACAGGAGCTGAGACTTCAGCCCTATCGCTTCGCAGCGCGGAAAAGATGGGCCTGCGTGGTGAAGACCTTCAGCCGCCAGTCACCCGTCTGCTGAACGCCGACAACCGGGAAATGGAGTGCGTCGGCACCGGCGGCGTCACACTGCAGCTGGGTGAGGTCATCAGGACACGTCCTGATGGACAGTCCTGATGACGTCATCAGGACACGTCATCAGGACAGTGGATGTGTCCGTGATTTGCGGTCTGCACAGCCCTCTGCTGTCCTGGCGCGATTGCATGGAGCCCAGCACACTCCCTCCGAGCTTCCCGGCGCAGATTCGACAGGTCAGCAGCGGCCCGCCGCGCCGGCCGACGCCGGATCAGCATGTCGCCGCTGCGTCACCGCCCGCGGCGCGCTCTCCGCCGGCCGCCGGGTACCGGTGCCCCGGGACCACGTCTGTCTCGGACAGCGGCGCGGCAAACTTCAGCGTTACAGGTGCCGGGACAGGGCTGACGGTGTCAGTGGCGGCGGCGCACGACGCCGCGCAAGAGGCTACGTCGAAGCAGCGAGAAGCCGGCTCGCCTCAGACACAGAGATGGAACCGCCCATAACACAGCCGGAGCGCCTCGCTGGGACCGGTGGCGCCGCCCCGACACGGCAGAGAACCGGCGGCGACGCCCCGGCACAGCAGAGCACCGGCGGCGCCCCCTCGGCACAGCAACGGAAACATCAGTTTGAAGCACTGAAGGCTGAGTTTCCCCGCGTCTTCGACGTCCAATCACCTCTGCGGAAGATGGTGGGAGAGCCGATGCGAATATGACAGATGACGGATGACAGATGAAGCTGACAGATGACGCCGTCCCCCATGCGCTATCGACAGCGACGAACATTCCGTTCTGCTGGAGACAGGATGTCAGAGAGCAGCTTGACGACCTCCTCAGCAAGGACATCATAGAGCCCGTCGAGCACCCCACGCCGTGGTGTCACCCCATCGTCCCGGTGGCGAAGCGGTCGCCAGATGGTGCAGTGTCAGGCTGCCGCCCACGGCCGATTTTACGAAGCTGAATCGATTCGTGAAGAGGCCGGCCCGCCCAGTCCGCTCGCTGCAGGACGCGGTGGCGGCAATCACGCCTGGCGCGGCCGTCTTCACCAAGCTGGACGGCAAGGCCGGCTACCACCAGGTCCCAATCAGAGAGGAGGATCTAGATCTGACATGCTTCATCACGCCGTGGGGCAGGTTCAGGTACAAGAGGGTCCCGATGGGCATCGTCAGCTCAGGCGATGTTGACAACCAGCGCGGCGATGCCGCCCTGGGAGACATCCCGAACACCTGCAAAGTGGTGGACGATGTGCTCGCCTATGACTCTGAGTACGAAGCCCATGTGCCGCACGTGCGCCAAATACTTCAGCGGTGTTAAGAGCATGGGATCACCCTGAACGCGGAAAAGTGCTGCTTTGCGGAGGCGGAATAATAATTCTGCGGCTACAACATCAGCTCGACTGGCTACACCACTGACGATAAGAAGATTCGAGTCATCAAGTCGTTCCCGAAGCCCAGCAACATCACCGACCTGAGATCATTCCTCGGCCCAGTCAACCAGCTGGGGTCCTTCTCCTCTGACGTCGCCGCGGCCGCTGAGCCGCTCCGTGAGCTGCTGCGGCCGCGGAACGCCTGGCTATGGACGCCTGGCTATGGACGCCTGGCTATGGACGCCGGCTCACGATCAGGCGTTCGCCGCCGCGAAGATGGAGCTGCTGTCGCCTCCCGTGCTGGAGTTTTTCAATCCACTGCGGCGGACGGCGCTGGAGACTGACGCAGCCCGCGCCGGCGGTCTCGGTTTCTGTCTCCGTCAGCTGGACAGGGCTGGCCGGTGGCGCCTGATCCAGTGCGGATCTCGGTTCCTGTCGGAGACGGAGTTACGCTACGCAGTGATTGAACTCGAGCTGCTGGCCCTGGCGTGGGCGTGCCGAAAATGCAACATATATCTCAGCGGTATGCAGCAGTTCGAGATGATGACGGATCATCGGCCGTTGATCCCCATTCTCAACTCGAAAAGCAAGGCGGACATCGAGAACCCTCGTTTGCAACGTCTCCGAGAGCGACTCGACCAGTTCAACTTCGCCGCCACCTGGCGGCAGGGAAAGCCGCACGCCATCCCAGACGCGCTGTCTCGGGCGCCCGTGGATGACCCAGTGCCTGATGACGAGGAAGCGGAACAAGACGTCAGTCACCAGATCGCCAGCATGGTCGCCAGGCTCGTCAGTGACGTCACCAACACCGACGGTGGCGCCAGCCCGCTCCGGGACGTCGTGCTGTCAGAACTCCGCGCCGCCGCCGAGAAGGACCCGGAGATGATCGCGCTGAAAGATGCCATCTCGACCGGTTTCCCAGAGCATCGGACGCAGCTGGAGCCGCTGCTGGGCCCCTACGGTGGCCTCCGAGACTGTCTGGCGGTGGATGACGGCCTGGTGGTGTGCGGTCGGCGGTTGGTGATACCGCAGTGCCTCCGTCACGCCACTCTCCAGAAACTTCACGCCAGCCCCCAGGACGTCGAGCGGACCAAGAGGCGGGCACGGCAGGCGGTGTACTGACCCCGGGTGGACCAGGACATCACGAACTTCATCGGCGCCTGCAGCAAATGTCAACTGCACCTGTCCAGTCAGCAGAAAGAACCCCTGACGACAGAGAAGGCACCCTCGCGAGTGTTCAAAGCCTTCTCCGCGGACTACTTCGCCTGGGCCGGACGGACCTTCCTGGTCTACGTTGACCGCCTCTCTGGCTGGCCATTCGCGTCACGGATAACCGGAGAGGCGTCAGCCAGAGACCTGGTGAGCAGCCTACGCGGCAGGTTCCCCGTCACCGGTGTACCGGCCTACATCAGGACCGACGGAGGGCCCCAGTTCAGCGCCCGGCTCACCCGTGAGTTCTTCCGCCGGTGGGGTGGGGACCATCAGCAGTCAACACCTCACTACCCGCAGTCCAACGGGCACGCGGAGGCTACCGTCAAGGCCGTCAACGGCTCGTGCAGAAAACCACCGCCGGCGGAGACCTGAACGCGGACGACTTCACAGCCGGTCTGCAGGAGCTGAGAAAAACCCCGCGGGCGGACTGCCGATCTCCAGCGCAGATCTTGTACGGTCACCCGCTGCGTTCAGCGGTCCCGGTGCACCACCGTACGTTCGCTCAACGCTGGCGGGAGGCCGCGGACGACTGCGATACCAAGGCGGCAACACTTCTGGAGCGCTCCGTAGAGCGGTATGACGAGTCGGCGAGGTGTCACTGCCCGCTTCGGGTCAGACAGCGCGTCCTCATCCGGGATCCGACCTCTCATCTGTGGGACCGCACCGGCACCGGCACCGGCGTCGGATCGCGGCGTGACTACCTCGTCCGGCTACCGAGCGGCCGCAGCTTCTGGCGGAATCGTCCGTTTCTCCGTCCGCTTCAACCCCTGATCGCCAGCGCCGGCAGTCAGGAGGACACGCGACGACCAGCGACAGTCAGAATCACATAGTGGATGGACCAGATGATGGCGCCGCCGGCGCCGTCCCCAGTGAGCACCTAACCTGCCCCGATGACGCCGGAGACAAGGACCGCCGAGTCAGAGGTCCCCAATGACAGCGCGCCGCCCAGCTTGACCGACGGCCTGCCACGACCCGCGGCTGACACACCCGCCAACACCGCGCTAGTGCCTATGTTGTCGCCGCCACCTCCGCTCCGATCCCCTCGACCCACTCGGCGGTTGTCTGTCTGGTGGTCAGACCCGGTGTCGAGCACGGCTGGAACTCCAGACATCACCGCCGACTCACCGCCCAGCCTGGCCGGCGACCAGACGTGCGTTGCGTCTGACATCACGCCCATCACGGACCCGGCGCCTGTGGCGTCACCGCCGCCCCCGCCCCCGCCCCAGCGGGAGCCGAGGACCGCCGCCAACCACAGCGTCTGTCAATCAGGTGGTCAGACCCGACATACACGTGTGTGTGGACGACCCCCCCCCCCCCCCCTCCACTTGTCAGCCGGCAGCCCTCGTGTGTTTCTTGTTTTGCCGCAGCCTGAGCTCGTTCAGCCTAGAGTTATCTTTTCAGTCGGGCGTTAAGTCACGCTCATGTGTCAACATTGGGCCTATGTTAGACGTCCCGCGTCATCCCCTTCCGCAAGCGTCTTGGGGGGAGGTGATGGGATGCAATATATCTGCATCACCTCCCTTCATACAGGGAAAGTGATGCAGGGATTTGGTAGCCCTTAGTTTTGTTTATTTTGTGTGGCAGCACAGAAATACAGTTGCCGTCAAGATTCCGAGTCGTGCGCGTGTGGGGTTCGAAACAAAGCATCAATCGTATTTGTTGACAACGTGTCGAACCCGAGTGACACTCGCCCGCGCGGACATGACACATGCTGCAACTGAAGCCGTGAATGACGTAATTGTCGAGTGGCTCATATCTGGCGTTCGTGAGCCACTCTGGCGTTCGTGAGCTATTCTCAGATATAACGGCCGTCAATTGGCTCTTAATCGATGTTGTGCAAGACACAATGACGCAATCAAACAATGATGTATTGGGGAGCATTTTTACTGAATAGAGACATTATGTTATCCAGAGCAGTCTTATCTCCATCTTATCTCTTATTTATCTCCAGCATCATCTTATCTCCAGCACCAGCTTATCTCCCACTTAGAAGCATACCAGCAGCTTTTATAAATCCGCACTGATTTGACCACTGCTGACCACAAATCTTATAACAGGCCAGTCACGACGACCTGGCTGAATCTGCTGTCCACTCCCTGTGCAGCGTGGCGAAAGGCCCGGAGTTAACCCATACTGGCATGTTAATACGATTGGGATTGGCGATCGAGGCGCTGTTGGTGGCCTCCCACCGATAATGGGAGGATGGTGAGTTTCAGGCGCCGTGGAGTGAGCCCATTAAAGTGTCGATTCTGAAGCCCAGCAACCGTGCAGCACATCCAGCAGATTATCGTCCCATTGCGCGTGCTCCATCCATATGTAAGCTGTTCTTTATGTAAATTATATGTAAGCAGATGTAACTGTCCGTCCGCCATGGTTTTTAGAACGGTAGAATATTTTCGCAGACGACCAGTGCGGTTTTAGGGGAAATCGGAGTAAACTGGGGCACACCACATAACGCAGGACATTACGGTCCACGTCATTGTCAGGGGGTAACTCGTTGATGCCGTTTTTTGGTATTAAAATGCATGTGATAGCGCATGGTGTTATGGTATATTATAAAAAAATCATTACGAGATCCGTTGAGCGATACGATCTGGTCATCCGTCTCCACACATTCTTGCCTTTGACTAACTTCCTCGCTGACCTGTCCAAAGTTCATGCTGACGTTCATTACTCATAACAATGTCTCATAGCAATATCTCGTAACAACGCTCATAACAATGCCTGCAAAAGAACGGTGTGGCCAGGGCATTGTCTTCTTTGTTTGCGAGTCACGATAAATGACCCTGGACATACACTCTCACAATTGATTGATCGATCTTCATTCGTTGGCGATTTCACAGTCTGGCGCCCCTCGTCAACACAGCTTCTATGGAACGGTAGTTGCAGCTGTCGTTGGCCCGGCTGGAGAAATTGAATACGCTTTATTAATTAATAGAAGCCGTCTCCATCCCCGTGTCTCTGTGCCTAACCGATCCCCGCCGAGCCGGCTACGCGCTGCTTGGACATGCTTCTAGACAGTCCATTGGCATATAGCAGACATCATTTGCAGTCTAACGGAACTAGCGTTTTAAAGCTCGGAGCGTTCTGAAGTGTACCGCTCGCACCTCGAACCATGCGGATCTGGTGGCATTCTTACTGCTGTACTACCCGTTGCTAACCTCTAAGGTCGAATGCAGTTGTTTTATCTATAACGGTGCGCACAGCTCGCGAAAATCCATGTTGGACAATGCGTATCACACCACTCATTGCTCACACCACTCAATTATCATTGCCACAGGTACATTCAGGACATTTCTAGACATTAGCCTTTTGGTGGGGGCGGACGAGCCACGGTTGTCGCTCAGGGGATAAATGCCTGGAATACGTTTCGCACACAAGTTGGCACAATGCTCTAACCAGCCGACGCATAAAACAGTTTTTACGATGCGGATGGGGGGCGGGGGGGATGGCAAAGTACGACCTTTCTTTAACCTTACTCGCTTGGCGGCCTTTTCGGACTGTGAACCTTTCAGTCGCATGCTCTATCTGACATGTTATTTCAACCCTCGCCCTACGAAAGATTTTTACGCAGTTTTTGATATATATATATATATACATATATATACGTATATATATATATATATATATATATATATATATATATATATGCATACTTAACAGATAAATTGCGTTGGCAGTTTTCACTTTAAAGTACGCCAGTAGCTAGAAGTGAGCTTGTTTCATCAGAGCTCATGCTTATTTTAATATTTTGAGATGTGGCACAAGCCCCGAAATAGAGTTTTCGGCTCTTAGTGGTATGTTCGTCATATCCAGTAATTGCCTAAATGCCTGCTTTTTATGACGAAACGCGGCGCACGATCGAGGCGTGCAATCATCAGGAAAATCTCACTATCAGTTGATTACAGTCTGTCGTTGAGATAATCCATGTTGCATCGCCGACAACACAAATGTTTAATTGTCTATATATTTATTGACTATGAGCTTTGCACAGCCAATGAGGTGGGGGTCCTGCATGACGGTTTTATGACGTCATACATGTCCCGGTGACTCCCATGGGCGATGCATCATAGGCTGCACAAAGTCACGCGCATCAGGCTCAGAAAGAAGAGGAAAAGGACGGAGGAAAGAGGAAAGATAAAATAAAGTAGACAAGAGGAAAAGAGAAAGAGAGAAGTAAGAAAGAAAGAATACACATGGCTGCGGACTGCAGAGAATGATTATGAGAAAGATCATCTCCGTTCAAAAGCCGGCATAGAAATGTGGGGCGGTATCTTCAATGGTGGCTATGGGCGCAACATGATCTCCGACATCCATGTGCCCCAAAACTCGAGTGATCGCCATCATCAACCACGGCTTCACCTAGCTCCGATAGCTCTGAAGAAACCCTTCCGTGGTTATGGTTCTCGCACTCGCGAACGACGACTCCGAACGCGGTCTTGAACAGGAATCAATGTCCTCCGAAAAAATGTCAACTGAGGCGTTCGTTCCTATTTCCAAACTGTCAGAAGTCTGACGAGTGATCAGGTCAGACCGGGAGAGTACGGTGGGTGGCATATGGTCTCGATATGCTCGTCGAGCTCGAAGTCCATCACAACACGGACCTCGTCGGGCGGAGCGGTGTCCTCGCTCGAATGCGACGCTAGTCGGTCCCGTCCCTCCCCACTGTCACGACGAGAGATTCCGGCTACTGCTTGCAATTGGGTGATGGATCTAGCACAACCCGTACTTTCGTACCAGCTCGCTTGCTGTTACTAGCTAGGGTACCGGTGGCGCAGTGGTCAAGGTGCCCGTCTGGGAAACCGGGGGTGCGGGATCGATTCCCGGCAGTGCCGAGCAGCGGGCGACGCCATGTAAATTCAGCAGCTGATTGCATCGTAAAGCCACGATTACCGCTCTTTGTTATACCTCAGTGATGGCAACATTAAATAACTGAAGCTCGTGACAGATATTCGATACCGGTGCGCGCTTGCACCGCACACATAACGCGGCCAGCACAATTGTTTCATTGTCCTCACTCGGTTTAAAGAGTTTTCAGAGCCATAAAGGGCCATACGCATTCAATATCTCGAAAAAGGCACTGGAATTGGACAACACCAGATACCGAAAGATAGGTTTCACTGTCGCTCTTGACATCGAATGTCTGGCATGGTATGCTCATATGAAAAGACCCACACATTTTTTTGTCGCTTTATCAATGTGTGAATGGTAGCTCAGGTGCCTATTCATTGCAATGTTAATGTTCCCTACAACTTCAGTGTTTGGCATGCGGTGTACCTGTACAAGAATTGAGCTGAGCAGGCAATTTAGGTTCAGAGCCTGTCAGGAGTATCTGCCATTACAATCTACGTTTTCGCACCATTTATATACTTTCCGTTTAAGTATTATCATTTTAATCGTGACGCCTTTATAGTACCATATTTTTTAGAAGAGTCCGTGTATTTTTCCCCGCTGGCCAGAAATTTGCCATCGTCCGGTAATCGTGCGACGGTCACCGACAATGGTCCG